CCTATTTATTTTTTATTCTGAGATAGGGTCTCACTAAGTTGCTTTGGGCCTGGTTAAATTGCTGAAGCTGGCCAAAACTTAAAATCCTCCTGACTCAGCCTCCCAAGTTGCTGGGATTACAGGCATGCATCACTGCAATCAACCCAATAATCTTCTTTATAATAAGCTTTTCTTTTTCTCTTCTAAATCCAGAATCCTAAAAAATGTTAATCACACCATTTCACTTAGTTGTCATGTCTTTTTTAATTTGAAATAATAAKTCTCTATCCTTCCTTTTTTTCATACTAGGTATTGAAATTAGGAGTGCTTTACTACTGAGCTACATCTTCAATTCTTTTTTTTTATTATTATTTTGAGACAGGTCTCAGTAAGTTGCTAAAGCTGTCTTCCAACTTGTAATCCTCCTGCCTCAGCCTCCAGAGTCACTGGGCTTATAGGCATTCACCACCATGCTTGGCCATTCATTTTTTTTCATTTTTTTTTAATATGGACTTTTATTCTCTTCCTCTTCCTTCTCCTTCTCTTCTTCCTCCTACTCTTCTTTCTTTTCCTTCTCCTTCTTCTTTCCAAGGCATGGTTTTTGTAGAATATCTCTAAATTTTGAGTTGCATTGTATCTTAGCATATGTACTACATAAGTGATATTGTCTTCTTAGTGAATCCCATCAGGACCCACATGATGTCAGTTTATTCCATATTAATGATGCTAAATTTGATTGTGTTTAAAAAAGTGGCATCTTCCATGTTTCTCCAGTATAAAGATATTTTTCCCCTTGAAATTAATTAGTGGGATGATACTGGGACACTGTGTTCCCTAACAACTTTTCATTGAATTATTTAAGCATGAATATCTTTTGTAGTTGCAAAACAAATTGARGTTTTATTGAATAATAAAAGATAGGCAAATAGGGTCAGCATGTAGCATTCTAATTGTAATAGCTTAGAATAGCAAAAGGCACATTATACCCTGAGACTTGCACACAGTCTGGTATTCCTAGACTTATATGGCAAAGCTARAAGAGTAGTTGAATACATCTCTAGGTCTATCAGGCATAACCTTTTGTATGTTCTGCTAAATAAAAAGTATGAGGGGCTGGGGATTCAGCTCAGTGCTTGCCTAGAACACACAAGGCTCTGAGTTTGGTCCTTAGTCCTGAGGCAGGGGAACAAAAAAAAAGTTTGGAATGAAGACAGAAAATCCATTCAAGTGAGTGACATATTAATAATAAGTCTATAATCTATTTTAGAATGACCAGGCATATATCACTGTACCTGACCCAATAATATCTTTATAGATTTTTTTTCTTTTCTAAATCAAAGGATCCTAAAATCTTGTTTATTTGCCTTGCTTATTCCAAGGCAAATGGTATAGAGGGGAGATGAGAAGGGAGCCTTAAAAACAACTGTAATTGTTCAGGTGAGAGAGTGAGTAAACAAAACTATTCTAGGAATTCTTTTTTAAGAGAGAAAGAATGTAGGCTTGGTGAGCAGATATGAAACAGTTTTGTGGCTTAGGCAACTATGTGGATGGTGGTACTGCTAGTGAAAAAGAATAGGTTTAGAGAGAAAGATGAAATCGTGAGGTTGGAATGCAGAACAGAATCTTCCTAAAGGTTAGAATCAAAGCAAATTTAATTCAACAAATCAGGTAAAGTTGTAAAACGTATAATATTCCTGAGGCTAGGCCAGGAAGATGATAGGATGAGGGTTCTCAGAGCCTGATGACTTAAGTTCAGGAATTAAGACTGTTTTAAAACTGAATCAAAGGGCTGGGACAGTGGCTCAGTGGTAGAGCACTCGCCTAGCATATGTGGGACACTGGGTTTGAACCTCAGCACCCCATAAAGATAAATAAATAAAGGAACTGACCATCTACAATTAAAAAATAAAGATTCTTAAAAAAAAAACTGAATCAAGACTTTTTTTCTAAAGACCCAAGATACTGGAAACCTGATTTATTTATTTTGATACCCTTATTCCATGCTGTCTCTAGAAAACACTACTTAACCTGTCCAAAGTATTCCAAGAGAGTTTATAGAAAACTATTTTGATAGAAATTCTAAAATCCTAGGCTGTAGAACATTGGTCAAGTCACTTATCTTCTCTAGACCTCAGTTTCTTCATTCATACAACCCACTTCTACCCGCTTCATAGAGTTTGTGTGACTGTCAAATAAGTTAATACGTGGAAATGTAATTTAAACTCTAAATTGCTGTACATATGTAATTTATTACACAGTTTGGAAAATGAATGTCTAAGTCTACCTCTTGGGCCTTTGGAATTAGAAATGAAACAATATTAACAGTCAAGTTCTGTCAGACTAATTGATATATGAACAGAAACTATTGGACTATGGCCTTAAGATGCCACAGAGCATTATTATAACTTGAGAAACCACATATGCACTCCTCAAATAAGACTCTTGTTCCTTCACTTTGAGGAAGGAAGGTATTGCCTTCCCCTTTCAGTGACTTCCAGGGTTCAGCCTTTTCAGTCTTGTGTCCTGAAAAGCTGATATAAAGTAAAACTGGTGTAAAGTGGGACTTTTCCAAATTTCACAGGTAAACTGAGGGGAAACCATTGATRTATTGTTTAACCAYCTCCACCAAAGCAAAAATTTACTTACATGATTTATTTCTCTCTTTCCCTTTCTTTCCATCTCTTGGTCACTTGGTCACTCTCATTTCTCATTCTCTTCATCTTTATTGTCACACGTAGAGCTCTGAGCCAGCATCCAACAGTAAATGATGATCTGCCTAACCGTATAATTTCTGGCTTGGTGAAGGTGAAAGGAAATGTGAAGGAATTCACAGAAACAGCTGCCATATTTGAGGATGGCTCCAGAGAGGATGACATTGATGTTGTTATCTTTGCAACAGGCTATAGCTTTGCCTTTCCTTTTCTTGAAGATTCTATCAAAGTGGTCAAAAATAAGATATCCCTATATAAAAAAGTCTTCCCCCCCAACCTAGAAAAGCCAACTCTTGCAATCATAGGCTTGATTCAACCCTTAGGAGCCATTATGCCGATTKCAGAGCTCCAAGGACGCTGGGCTACTCAAGTATTTAAAGGTAAGTGACAATAAAATTCTCTCCTTAATTACTTGGTGATGTTTAATTATGTTTTTGTGCTTGCTTTTAAAAAGCAGTATGTTTGATCAAAATCTTGAGGGCTGCATAATATCTAGCACAAAGTTAGTACTAGAAAACTTATTTTTAAGTGAATCTAACRTAGTAATTTATAACCATAGACATATCTTAGAATCACCTGGGATATTTTCCCAGCTTAGGCATGCTTTGATCTCATCCCTGGTGATACTTATTCAGTAAATGTGGGTGGGGCAGACACAAGATTTTTGACAAAATTGTTCCCCAGTTAATTCCAATGTGTACTTCAGATTAGAATCCACTCATCTAAATTTTAGCAATTGGTATATATTTGTGAAGTAAAAGAATTTCATCTTTCATTATGGAGAATGTCAAATATAGAAATGGTGTGACTTACTTTCATACAATAAGTTAACGCTTGGA